AGTTTTCTCAGGTTCTGGACCTGTCAATAAACAATGTAATCTCATCCTTTTAAAAAAGGTCTTTTAACCTCCTAGGACCTGGCGTCCACATATGTGGACGTCACATTTTGGGTTCTCTAGACCACAATACTAACTTTTTCTCAACAAGGGCCTGGTGACCACATTAGAGGACATTATTCTGCCACTTAGTGGTGGGAGAAGAGTGTAACACATTACAGATTAGATTCTAGATAGCAGACAACACACCCAGATGTTCAAATGGCCACTCCCGATCCCAATCCTGCCCTGGTAAAAAATTCAATCAAATTTCATGGTTGATTCTTGTTCAAATATGTATAAAAGTATTCAATCTTTGTTATGGAAGTAAAATTTTACAAAAGTTAGGAACTGTAATGATTTACCATGCCGCTAAACATGATGTCCACATATGTGGACAAAGGGACTTAGTTTTGTTAGTTAAGAAGCAGATGTATATGACTGGTACAGTTATGAGGCATCGGGTCGCTGCAGCAGTGCAGAAGCTACCAACTGACAAAAAAATGAAAAAGGACGGAAGAGGTACCTCAGCACAAGTTACCACTGAGGATGGAAAGATTTGCGTGGTAAAGTGGTATGACAATAAACCGGTATTGATGATGTCTGCTGTTCATGCTTGAGAGCCAGAAAACACCTGCCAGAGATGGGACAAAAAACAGAAACGATATGTGACCATCCCGCGACCAAGTATTGTCCATGAATACAACTCCAAGATGGGTGGAGTTGACCTTGTTGATGAGTTACTATCGAATGAATGGCCATACAAAGAAATGGACATTGAGGATGCTAATGCACTTTACAGATCTGGCTTTAGCCAACGGCTGGCTACTGTACCGCAAGGACCTCACTGTATGTGTCACACCAAAGAAAAACATCATGCAGTTCCTTGAATTTCGAATGGAAGTGGCCATGACCTTCTTGACTCAGCGTGACAATGACAACAACAATTCTGACTTTTCAGAGCCGGAAGATGACCCAGACATTTTAGTCCAAGGGAAAAAGCGTCCAGTGAAGGCAGTCCCCCATGTCTCAATCCGCAGGAGGGCTAATGCACATCTGCCAGAGGCAGTAAACTTGAAGAATGCAGCGCGCTGCAGAGCAAAAGGCTGCTCAGGGAAAACTCGAGTGCAGTGTGGTACATGCAAGGTTTTCCTCTGCTTACA